AAAAACTCCAAGCTCGAGATTACGCGATCAAACTATAGGCAATGCCACATACTTGCCACTCGTCTCCTCATCAATCATAGCCGTCAACTCCTTGCAGTAAGCAAACAATACCGTGTTTGCCACCAAACCGTAAAGCGATAACACGGTTGAAACAACAACATAAACAACCATCTGCACGAAAACAACCCAACCTTGACAAACTCCACCTTTACTCCTCACCAAATTCGAATACAATACCGTGAGAACCGAACCAATAGACGCAAACAACACCGTCATAGAAAGAGCAACCCATCTCTTCCCTTTTACCAAACGCGAGCTCCTTCTTAATGGCTCAAACCCCCACTTTGACTCCAAAACCACAACCGCGCTCGAGAGGCACCACTCGACTTGCAAGTAGACAAACACGAACACGAGAACAACGGTAGCCATCACAACAAACACGAGAAAGTAGGGGCTGTTGTTGTCATATTCGATCTCGAGCCCAAGCAAGGTGAGCCCAATATAGGCCACGAGCACGAGAACACCAAACACGAAAAGAATTGACCCGAAAATTATTTGTGTGATGAACTTAGTCGCGAGTAAAGGGAAGAAGGAGAGCACGATGGATTGCAGAGAAAGACGGAAGGAAATGGGTTTACGGTGAAACGCGGCAAAAGTGGTGGTGGTGATGGAAGGAATGGCACAAAGGGTGAAAAAGAGTGTGGGAAGGATGTAGAGAATGGAGATGAGGAGATGGGGTTGGGTGTATGGAGTGGAGATAGTGGAAATGGAGTGGAGGTAGTAAAGCACGGCGGAAAACGAGACGGGGAGGAGAAAGAGAGCCGAGAGGGCCAAGAAATGGCGCGGGTGGGCGGCGATCACGCGCCAGGTTTCAGAGAGTACTTGCCGGAGGCTTGGGCTGTGGGTTGACATGTTTTGAGAGAGAGAGAGATGATGATGAAGATTTGTGAATGAATATTATATATATTTATATAAAATGAGACTGACTGGCTGGGAATACTAGTATAGCAATGAGGAAAAGTTCAGAGCTTATAAAGGTCAATTGGAAAAAAGATTTTTATGTTTTCTTTAAGCGCGTTGAATAGTTGAAAGCTTGCATGATGATGACACTATTAACGAAAATTTTCCAACAAGTCTAGATACGTCGTTAAAGCAGACTGCAATTAGGAATTTTCTCAACTACGTGTGTTTGTTAAAGGAATAATTTGAGCCCTTTCAGGATTAGGCAAGATATCCCGCTTTATCCTGCCTTAATCCCTAGTTTGGTTGGAAGGATGGCGGCCCGTTGGAATTCCTTTGGCCCCGGATTAAAACACCTATTAATCCTGGTTTCATGGGATAACTCAATCCCAGCTATTTGGGGGATATCAACAATCCTGACATGTATATAACATCTTTACCCCCAGCTTTTATTTTTTGTTTTATTTTAGAGGGGTAAAATAATATTTTACACCACCTACACAATCTATTAATATATAAAGAGGGAATGATAGTTGTTTGGAAAAATTATGTAAAAAATCAGGAAAAAAAAATTTCAATTCCCGCCTAAAGTTTAGTATAATTTTTTGCGAAAAAATGAATAAGCCCGTCAGTCATCAATTCGAATTTTTTGAAGATTTTATTTATTGATTTTAACTTATTTGGACTTATCTATTTCTACAATCCGATTTTTTAGTCCAAGATTTGAAGAAAAAGATCCGCAACAAAAGGAAAAATGAGAAAAAAAAGGAAATATCTCTCTTTTTTTATTCCCAATCCCAAATATTCCGTCGAAGCAATCTTTATTTTTCTGCCAATCATCTTTCGGATCAGCGGCCAAAATCGCTGGCAAAGCTTCAATCAGAAAGAAAGATCCGGCAGCACTACAACTTCGACGGTAGCCTCACCCAACTCGAGCTCGCCGCCCTCCTCTGGTCTCTCGGCCTCAAGCCCTCCGGCGACCAGATCCACGCCCTCCTCGCCAACATGGATGCCAATGACAAAGGCACTGTCGAGCGAGACCCAATCAGCGGGTCGGTGCCCATCTCCTGCGCGGCCTCCGTCAACTCCAGCACGTCGTCCCAGAGCCGCCGCTATGTGTCTGTGCGTCAGATGCTCCGGTGAGTTTTCTTTTATTTTAATTTTTTATGTTATGTTAGAAAGATGTAATTAGGTGTTGTAGATTGATATGGATGTTGGAACCTAACTAATGTAAATGGGGTAAATTGTGCATAGGTTTCTGTAGCACGGACGTGCAGAATAGAACTAATTAGCAACCGCCATCGCCTGGCCGTGTGGGTTTTTGCTGTACCCTGGCGAGCTCGCTCTGGTATGAAATTATTGTAAGAATATTTGCTCTTAGGTTTCCAGTTTTTATTTTTCCTTTTTTTTTTTTTTGGTTTGTTGATGATCTCTATCCCCCTAAATAAGTTTGATGAGTATCGAAATTCAGGCAGCGGAAGATTCATGGAGGATTTAACTACAGAATTTTTCTCCGTCTCCGGCGAAGGTGACTCCCTTTGTTTACTGTGGCTGGCCCACGTCATCTGGGGCCTCAATGATGAAGATGATGGTTAGCTCTCGATTTTTATTTTTTCTGGTTATATTCTATTTTTTTCCCCTTATATCATGCTGAATGAGCCCAAATTGGAAATAGTCTACAACGATTCAAGACGCGATCGAAATCGAGGTGACTGAAGCTCTGTTCGATCTGATGAAACAATCTCATTCTCATTCACAGTCATCGGAAAGGCAAGAAAAAGTAGATAGAGATAACACAAATAATAATAATAATGGTGATGATGGCAAGCTCATATGCTTCATTTGCCTTTTTTTTAACCTGAAAAAAAATGTGTTTCTCAATAAATGTGGATTTTATTGGATACAGATTCAGAGAGATTAAAAGTTGTTCGAGGTAAAGAGGAGATTGACGTTATTAATGCTAGAGAATCTCGGGATGTGCATGGCGGAGGAGAAGTACGGGTGATGATCGGGAATCGGTAGACAATCTCGCTATATGGACGGAAGATAGACGCCGACGGGGACCGGTGCCCTGTATGCGGTGGTGATGGCAGACGGCTGAGGACGGTGAAGAGTACGTGTTGAGGTCGGGATTTTCGATCGGGACGGGGCGGGTTCATTACGGCGAATGAGCTGAGGTCGGGATTTTCGGGCGATGATGAAGTGCTGCGAGTTCGTCAGGGTAAATTTATTGTTTATTTTTAATAAATTTTTTTGTTTAGATGTGCAAAGTTTGAGAGTCCCATATATCAATGATTTTTTTTGTAATCGTTCATTAACAATTGTCTACGGTTAATTGCAGAGTTTGGGAGTCCCATATATCAATTGCGTGAATTTGGGTTTTCTTTATGTTGTCCCGGAGCAAGCTTTTCTCGTGCTTTTCCATCGTCTGAAACTCCCAGAGTGAATTCTGTCTAAAAAAAATTGCACCTCCCTCTCTCTCTCTCTTTCTCTCTTTTTTTTTCCTTTCTCTCTTTTTTCTTTAATTCTTTTAAAGATTTTTGGTGGATTTATTTTTTTTTTTTCTTATTATGATTACCAGTGAGAGGTATTTTGCACTGTGATACTATGAGTGAAAATATTTCCCCACTTAAAAGTTGTCGTGTAGTTTTATGTCTCACTTATATTAAATACATTCTGTCTTGACAAGGGTGTTCAAGAAACAATGTGCATGTGTCTATATTTTGTTTTGTTAAAATCTATTGTTTTTGGATGAATTGATTTATTGGGACAAATAAGTTAATTGTTGTGCTTAGCGAATCACAAACCTGATCATGAATATATGTCTAGCGTGCTTTAACTAACTTATTGGAACAAATACTTTTAAATGTTGAGATATTTATTTGTAGGGATACGATTTTTTTTTTCAGAAACATGTAATTTTTGTTAAAAATGTAGGACGACTCAAAAAAATTATGATTTAACTAAATCTATCTATATCTATATAAAAAGGTTTGCCATTTATCAAAAAAATCCGCTGAAATCCCGTCAAAAAATTTCGTTTTTACTTTTATTAGTAATTTTTTTTTAAAAAAATGAAAAATGGCGTTCTTTTTAAAAATTTAAACTAAAGAAAAATCAATATTTGAATGGATTGGTCAACAATTGCGGGCGGTGTATTTCATAGAATTTTGTCCGATATTTTTGTTCCAATATTACTCCTATATAACAAAGGAAAGAAAATAAATATATTTAACCAATGTACATAATAATATAATTTTGATCAGATATGTGACCCAAATTTGAACTGATATATTTTGAAAAATCACGTGTATAATCTTCTGTCGAGATTTTGGTCATGATCCTCGAAATTCCCTACACAATTGTAGAGCAACCAAATCTGTAATATTTAATCACAATTATATCCTGCAAAAGTTAATACAAAATATTTTAATTAAAGAATGTTTGATACAAAATACTTTCATTAAAAAAAGGATATGTATGATTTATTTGATATTCACATTTGTATATCTATATCAATATCTATATAAAAAGATTTGTATTTACTTGAAATAATAGCTAAAATCTCGCAAAAAAAATTCAATTTACCTTTGTGTAACTTTTTTAAATTTTTTTAAAAGTTGAGGAAATTATTTGAAATTCAAATTAAAAAAATCAATCTAATTAATGTACAAAATTATTTTATTCAAATATTGTGGTTATTACCTTTATTAATTAATTGTTTATTGCGGATTAATTAATTTTATAGTTTAACATCAAGTATTTATATAGTTTACTTATCATGATTTTGATGCAATCTTTAACTTATAATACTATTAGTAAAATTCAAAATACTATGTGTTGAATATTATTTTTATGTAGGAAGTGAATTTGTAATTGCGTACTTCAATTAAAATGGATTAATTTAACAAATAAAGACGGACAAACAATAAGAAGTGTCTGCTTTCATGTTTCTAGTTTAAATTTTTTTGATTATTTTTAAAATAGTAATAGTTTTCCTAAAAAAATTATTTATTATATTTATTGTTATTAATAAATCTAATTTTGATATAAAGTAGGCGATTTTATGGTATAAATGTAGTCGAATTTAATTAATCCTATTTACTAGATATAATTTGAATTGTGTTTGGTATAATGTGCTGTTATAAATAGTTATTTTGATGGTGATTTTACTCGACTCGAGGTATGTGATTGCGATTTTAATTAACTATAATGGTGTGCCTACAAGGCAAAAATTTTTGTCTACAAGGACGTTTTTAATATTATGTAATAGTCTTTTTAGTATTATTTATTTAATTTTCTTTATTCACGAATATAATAATAAAGTTGGGTAATGACCTTAAAATTGTCCACCCCATACATCGCACGGGATCTGTACTAGTTTTTTTAAAGCTAAAGTTATTCTACCCCTTATCATCTATAACAAACATAGAATTAGTTTTATCCCAACAGTACAATTCTTCACAATTGGACTATTTTAGTCCAATCTTATCCTAGAAAGCAAACATGGGCTGAGTGAATTAACTCAAAGTGAATTTTTTTGAGTTAACTAGGGTTAATTTAGAAAAAGTGGTCTAGTTAGTTGTTAGTGAAATTTTGAGTTTATATTAAAATAATATTTAAAATAAAATAATTAAAATTGATTTGATGTAAAAGTAGGAGAGAGATGATATAAAGTGATGATTAGTTAAAATTATGTGATTGGATGAATAGTGAATTAAAGTTGATATGATGTGAAAATGATTGATTGTTATTATTTAATGATTGGTTGTTGTTATGTAATTATGTTGATAATATTGAGGATAATGGGGTTGAATCAATCTTCAGTTAAATTTTGAGTAGAATTAATTTGGTTTGAGTTTTTTCTTTAACAAACACAACCGTCAATTGAAAACTTAAAGGAAGCAAAGGGAGCAAGTGTAGGGAAAATACATAACTGTATTGTTAAAAAA